ACGTATTTCCTTTAATTTTTAACGATAGAGTGTTTCTTCAAGAACGATTTGTAGAGGTTTTTAAGAGCTACAAGGATCTGTGAATTAAATCTTTTTGGAACCCTTGGTTTTTAAATGGGGTGAGTTTAAAGGGCCCGAAAAAGATGATGCTTGATCGTAAATCGATGCTTTAAACGGCTATATCTCGTCAAATGTTCATTGTACAACAAATCTAAATAAAGGTTAATTTTAGTCATTAAAAAAGCTACAATTTGGGAATTTTAATTTTTTTCATATATTCAGTATTTTCGGGCATATATAAAAAAAGAAGGGTAAAAAATATGAAATTGTAAATCGTTTCTCGCTTTAAGCTGTACTTTTTCTAAAACTAAGCATTTTAAGTGGTTCAAACTTCTTGGACGTATTAACAATACATGTATAAAGGGAATTGCAGAAGGGTGAAGATCGATTTTAATTATGGGGATATTTAGGAGGTTGTTTTCATCGATTTTTTCGTAAAAAATGAGGTATTGACCTTATTTTCATCATAACTCACTCAATTTTTGAGCTAGAGTCTCTTTTTATAATAGGTCTGTTTATGCTCTTTAAAAAAGGTTTTGTGAGTTTTCTTCCAAAAGTGCATCATTTTCCCGATATCTGACTTTGAATCTTTCAAATTTGGCATTTGAAGAAAACCGCTGAACATGTATAGGCCGTATTTCGGTTCCTATTATATCGCAAAAACATTTTAAAAAGATGAATTGTATTTGTCTTTTTAAAAGCTACAAATTTGTTCTTTACAATTTTTTTGATAAAATGCACCATTTTCGAGTTATTCGCGAAAAATCGATTAAAAATGTGGATTTTTTTCGTCTAAAAGTTGTTACTTTCAATCGCGAATAACTTGAAAAATATCATTTTATAAAAAAAAATGTATAGCACATTTTTTGTCTAGAATCACTTTTTTAATCGAAACCTGTAGTTAAAACGTAAAAAAAAATTTCACCCCGGAGATGGGGTGGCAACCACCCCCTAGGCTTTGGCGCACTTTGGTTCGATATAGATTTTGATCCTTAGTCTATTACCTACCTTCTGTTAAATTTCAAGTCAACCCACGCAGCACGAAAAAATTGCGAGGTGAAATGCTTCATTTCCTGGACTATAACTTGTTTGACAGCATATTAAAATCCTAGATTTATGTGCAGCTTTCAATTTCAGTTCAGAATCCAGCAGCCCGCTGAAGTATTGGATTTTTATAATATAATTATTTGACAATCTTTTGTTGGCCAACCACCTACAGCAGAATTTAGCCGAAATACATTATATTCCTATGTTCCGAATTTATTTCGTTCAATCTGTATATATATATACAGTGTAGGTAAAATTTTAAGGTCGGTATGGTAAAATTTAACAGTATATCTAACGCAGATATAAAATCATATTTTCAGCGAATTAGACAAAGATAACAATCATATTTCCCCTTCGTCTCCCCTCCTAAAATTCTTTTAACACTCATTGGCCATTGCCCATTAGTGAGACGATTAGTTCCGATCAGATATTCTCTGGTTCCGATCCTAATATACCTAAAAAACTAGAGGTGGGTCCTCTCGTTTTTTTTAATTTTTATCGGAACCGTTTTTCGTAAACTGTAACTAGTTGATTGTTTACCAGTATTCAAATTAGCGAGTACACAAACATATCGATACATTTTTGGCAAAGTAACGTAAGTCACCAAAAACGATTTGTAGAAAAAACAATTTTTTAATTCAACCTGCTTAAACTTATTTAAATTATGACTGAAAAAACTTGTCCTAAAAAAGGTTTAAAGTAAATCTAGGTTTACTACACTCTTTCAGTACCTTTGTAACAGTAATAGCATTAGTTTAATTGAAAAACATTATTTTCGCCAAAAATGTCACTTACGTTACTTTGCCAAAAATGTATCGATATTGGCTATTATCGTTTATGTGTATAAGTATTGAAATAAAAGAACCTAACGAAGGATATTATTGTAACTTGAAAAATAAATTAAATAATACAAATGGTACTTAAATACTTACATTTACATTACACATTATTAAATCGCGAATCGTCTAAATTGACATTTAAAAACATAAGTTTTTCCACCTTTCTTGTTAATCGCGTTCTTCTTTTATTTAAAATTATACCAGATGTTAAACATGTGTTCACAAGGAAAAGATTTTGTTACAATACTACAACATTTTATGAATATAGTGGTTAAGTTACCATATACATGGCGATGGTTTTTTCACCACGGTAATGGACAGTTCCAATCTCCGTTCGAAATTGTTTGTGGGTAATATCTCATCAGACAATTACATGTCGACTTCTTTTATACCTCTCGATACAGGTATATGTTTAGATGAGTCATGTCCAATTATTTCATCAAAAATACACCATGGACTTAAGTCATCTTTATCAGTTTCTTTTTCTTGGACTGATTGATTTTCAAGATTTACTAAACTTTTCGTTTCATCCGTTTTCCATAGTTAAAGAACCAGCTTTTAAAAAGTTTGCAGGGTGGATTCCTGGATATAAACCGCCAACAAGAAAAACTTTGTCAGGTTCATTACTTCAGGAATGTTATGTCAAAAGTGAGCAAATTATTAGATCACAAGTTGTTAAATAAAGTAGAAAATATCTGTATTACTACTGACCTCTGGACATCTGGAGTAACTGAGAGTTACTTCGCATTAACAGGACAATATTTAACCGAAAATTTAGTATTCAAAACTTTTTTATTAGGCTGCTGCCTAATTTTTAAATGCCGTAAGTATGCCGTTTGCTAAATTTTAGCAAACGGCATACTTACATCCATAGTATCCGACATAGTACAATTACTAATATCGGGTTTAGCAAAAAGATTTAGAGGGATAGAACAGAGTGGCACATTGTCATTATGTACATTTATGGATTCACGATTTAAAGTGCAGAACAAAACAAAAAGTTAAGAAGCTGGTTACTTCTATAATTAACGAACAAGAAGATTGTACTATTGAAAATCAACCAGTACAAGAAAAAGAAACCAATAAATATGACTTAAGTCCATGGTGTATTTTTGATCAATTAATTGGAGATGACTCATCTACACGTACACCTGCATCGAGAGTCCATTACAAGAAAAACTTGTTTTTATGTCAATTTAGACTATTCGCGATTTAATAATAACGTGTAATGTAAATGTAAGTCCGATTTACTATTTGTATTGTTTAGTTTATTTTTCAAGTTATAATAAATATATGATTAGGTAGTTTCTTTCACTTCAAAAGATATACACATAAACGATAATAGCCGTTATGTTTGTTTATGTAGGTACTCTCTTACTTGAAACTACTTTTAAACAATCATAGTTACTTGTTTATGAAAATTAAAATTTTTAAATGCTTTTTAGCATTTAAAAATGCTTAAATGCTTTTTAGCATTTAAAAAAATTTAAATTTTTTTGGAATCCTGAGAAAACTAACAAATATTTTTGAAAAATTTAAATGCAGAATGAAAGATTACATTATTACCGAGGGCCGAAAGTCCCTTAGAATAAACAAAAAGTTTTTTTAATGAGATATTTAAAATTAAAAATCACACTAAATTTTGTTTTTTTTTTCATCCCTATAACTTATTAAAATAAACATTATAGAAGTTTTCAGGGACTTTCGGCTCTCGGTAATAATGTATTGTTTCATTCTGCGTTTAAATTTTTCAAAAATATTTATTAGTTTTCTCAGGATTCGAAAAAAATGAATGCTTTTAAAAAACATTGGCCCGAAATTTTGCTCCTACGCAATTAACGATAAACTAGCACGACCCACCTCTACTTCTCGTTACTCGATCTTTTGACCAGACAACTATCTAGACTAGACGTTGCCAAAGAATTAGTGTATGAATATTTTTTAATGTGGCGTTATTGTATGCATGTTTAATTGTTTATTATTTCATATTGGGAAATTATTTTGATGTTTAGATTTTTAGTTCGGAAATCGTACTTAAAATACGAAACATTAATAAATTTTATTTATATAAAACGATTTCCGAAATGGAAATCAAAATGTTATATTATAATTATTGTAAAGAAAACTTGTGGCATATTCCCAATAAAAAAACAGTAACCTGCCATTTAAATCAATTTCGCCCAAATTTGATTATCTTGAGCATTTTATCTTCTTGATAGAACATTGTTCAAATGCAAAAAAGACAACAGGTCAAATAAAACCGATAAGTTTGGCAACGTTGAACTTCCCCTTTTTTATTATTTCTAGGCATGAAGGTTCGGTGATATAAAGGGCGCACCTAATATACCTCTCTCTTTTTAAACAGCTGTTTCTCACTCCATCTCACGTAAGGTCCATACCGACCATAAAATTTTTCCTACACTGTATATATATATATATATATATATATATATATATATATATATATATATTGACTCATATTTAACCTGTAAACATTTTATTATTCTAACAAGTATTTTCTAGTAGGTTCTCCGATCCGCTAAAAACCTGTCTGGCGTTCCATCCTATTCGAGAAGGGTCAACACAGGTCACCGTCCGAATTCGAGGAGACTCCAGAATAACGGCTATTATATATATATATATATATATATATATATATATATATATATATATATATATAAGGACATTTTTATTTGAAAACAAGTTAGTCTGAATAGTTGTATCGAGTTTGAATTGTAACGCCGAAATGTAGTATATAAATTAGAATCGTGTAAATAGTGTAAGTAAATTATTGTAAGACTTTATATAAATTAATAAAGACTTTAATAAACTAGGTGTTAGAATATTTTTATAATACATAAAGTTGATAAATTAGATTAACAAAAACAGTTCACTATTCTAAACTAAAATAATTAGTAATTAAAAACCACATAAACAAATTACTAATTGCTATTGTTTTTGAATAAATAGTTATTCAAATTGGAGTAATAAATATATCTAAGAGGCATATTGCTATTTTGTGGTAATTTTATTTTAAATAAAAAAAAAACTTACAGAAGAAGATTGCATGGACGATAATAACGCCAGAGAACTTCCTTTTCCCCCAGTAAGTTCCAATATTCGAGATTCTTCATCTTTTATAGCTGTTATAAGTTTATCTGGTATACTATCAATTAATTTCTTAAACAATTTTGGTTTGGGAATAAATACTTCCTCACCTGAAATAAAACAATTTTATCTTTGAATTGAATTTATTATAAAATCTTTTTAAAATTCTCAGAAAATAATAAAAATACATGAACTAAATCTGCTTAAGGTATTAATATTGTTAATCCGAGTACATCTCACGGTTCTATTTATTTTGTTATCTGATATTATTATTTAATATTTGCACCAATTGTTTACCCCCATACAATTTAAGATATTAGTTTATTATATTAGTTTATTATTTGACATACTTTCGGTCGATTTCAGTACTCAATTTCATCAAGATATTTTTTAATTGAGATTGGCTGGATAGTTAGCCTAATCTTGAAACTTGCTGGATAGAGCTAACTGAACTATCATATCAGACAGCTAAATAATCATTGTAATCTCCTGAAAACATATTCAGCCAAGTACAATGCATTTGCAACTCAAAAGCTCTTCTCAGAACCTCATGACAAAGTATCAGTTGTACCATAGAGTCAGAATAATGGAATACAACCTACTAGACGAAACACACCATCATGCATATGTGATAGCCACATACGTAACATCTAATATAGAGAATACGCACTTGTGCTCTTCTTATGTAATACACTTATTGTGACTATTAACAAATATTCAAGGTACAGTACAAATTAACAAATATTCGAGGATCTCTCACGCGCCCAGTTCAGCTTCTTTAGGATTCTACAATGACTTCACAATACTGTGTCAATTAAAAAGTTTCAACACAACACCATCGCCTAATTCTAATGTACTCATAATTGATGGATTCGACCGTTCTTCTTTTTCTTATGGTGCCTATCCGTTACGGATGTTGGACACTAACATGGCTATTCTGACTTTGTTGAGTGCTGTCCTGAAAAATCCGGTAGTGGTTAAGTTAAACCATTTACGCAGGTTATGCAGCCAGGATATTCTTCTTCGTCCTGGACCTCTTTTCCCATGCACTTTACCTTGAAGTATGGTCCGAAGTAGGTCATATCGTTGTTCATTGCGCATTATATGTTTCAGGTATTCCAGTTTGCGACGTTTTATGGTTACGACTAGTTCGCGCTCTTTACCCATTCTCTGTAGTACTTCTTCGTTGATAACTCTGTCTATCCAGGAAATCCTCAACATGCGTCTATAGTACCACATCTCAAATGCTTCGAGTCTCTTCAATGATGCTTCAGTTAAGGTGCACCTTCCTCACTCCACGCCATACAAAAGAACGGAAATTACGTAGCACTTTAGTAAACGAACTTTTATTTACAATTTTATGTCATGGCTGTTAAAGATTTTTTTTTATTTTGATCATTTGATCGAGAAGGCAAGCTGATCTTGCCTTCTCGATCCTTATCTTAATTTCCGTAGATTGGTACCACTGTTCATTTAAGTTGACACCCAGATAACAAAAGTTGGTGATTTGTGTTATAGGTTGTTGGTTAACTAGTAATTGACCAGGTGGTATCCTTTTTTTGCTAATAACCATGTATTTGGCTTTTTTGATGTTAAAATCAAGCCCAAAACCTGGTACTTACTTCTGTCACCCTGGAGACAAGTGTATGCAGATTTTCAAGACTGTCTGCAAAAATGACAGTATCATTAGCGTATCTTATGTTGTTCAATTGTTCTCCGTTTATAAGTATTCCCTCGTCTATGTCCTTTAGCGCAAGGTTTATAATGTGCTCTGAATATGTTTTGAACAATAATGGGGACAATATACATCCCTGTCGTACACCTCTCAAATGGAAATGAAAAGGAATGAAATAGTTACAAACAGAATAAAACACCCATTTCCATTAAAAATAAATCAATAGAAAACAAGATTTTTTCTACCATATTGCTATTATATGCATAAATAACTACTATTGCTATAGATAAAATAGAATATAATAAGAAAACAATAGAATTTTTAAATAATCAAAATATTGAAACGTTACACAAAGATCCGACAGAAAAGTATCAAAAAAAATTAGCCTTAGAAAATTCAAAATCAATACTAAATCCAACGGAACAGAAATACCTAAATATCATGAACCCACAGCCTCCTAAATTATACTCTTTCATTAAACTACACAAACCGGATCACCCAAGAAGACAGCTTATACAGCTCCGTCATATAAGCTTTCAAAAAAACTGTTAGAGATTATTTTAGAACACACTAAATTTTCACCTAAATTTACCATAAAAAAATACAATAGAACTATTAAATAAAATACAACATTTTCCATTACCTAACAACTCTAGATTAATTTCACTTGACGTAAAAAATCTTTTTCTTAGTATTCTTCCTACAGAAACTTTTATTCAGTAAAAAACCTTTTAGACCAAAATAGTACAAATCCAATTATTACATCTGAAATTTTACATCTTCTTGAAGTTTGCATAAACCAGGGCTACTTTGAATTTAACAATCAAATATATACAAATAACAGCGCAGGAATTAATGGGCAATCCTTAAGCACATTGCTACTGTACTGGTATGTTTCACAGGAACTAACAGGTAACTCGACCATTTTTATCGTATATTAATTCACTTCATAGTCATATTAAATTTACAATAGAAACAGAACAAATTCAATCCATAAATTTTTTAGATTTAAAAATTATCAGACTTAAAAACAAACATTACTTCTCTATATTTCATATACCTACCAATACTGACACGACTATATACAATTCATCATATCAACCCACACAACATAAACTGGCATCCTATCATAGTATGTTACACAGAGTAACAGAATTTCAGATGTCAAAATACAACTTCGAGACAGAATTAAATATCATTTGGCAAAATAGCAGTAAACAATGGATTCAACGAACAAACAATTAATAAAATGTTAAATCAAAAACTACACAAGAAAACCCTGAAATTAGTATTTCCACCACCAGAGAAGAAACCCAGTACCTTCTGCTCGATTACATAAAAAGGCAAAATATCAACAAAAATAGCCAAACACATAAAAAAGGAAGGAATAACACCAGTTTTAATACCAACTTAAGCAGATATATTAAAAACAACAATAGCCAAACTAAAAAAAACACTTACAAAGTGATGTTCACAAACTTAAATGTGGCGACTGCCCAAAAATTACATCGGTCAAACTGGTAGAAATTTTAATAAACGAATAGCAGAACATAAAAGGGTTTTCAATAATAGAAAAACAGATTTTACATACCTTCTAGATCATAATCATTCTTTATATGACAAATTTAAAATTCTTCACATTCAAAATAAAGACCTTAAGCTATCTTTGGTATATTCTATGGAAATCAACAAATTAACCTTTCCCCTCCTCAACCTATTTCATTAAAGACTATAAAGTGTAAACGCGTGCCAAAAATAGATCACTTGAGAAAGGCAATCAGAAATGGAAAATCCTATAGGCCTTTTACATGAAATCGTGTGTTTTATACATTTACAATTAGTTTAGGAAAAATTTTAGTTTTGTTAATACATATAAAAAAGAATATTGTCTTACCTTTATTAGCATACCAAAATTCTACCAAGGCATTGCCACTGTATAGGTCTATATGGCACTTAGCAGGTATAGTATAATATTCGTAACCGTATTCAGTGTTACTACTGGATTTGATTATTTTCTGTTTGTTCAGATAGACTACAATTGTGTAAGTCTTACCATTAACTTTTACACGAGATTTTATACAATCTGGAAAAGTTTTATGCTCTCCAACGTGGCGCATTTGAAGGTCTATATCGGTGATGGGATATCTTCTTTCATTACTTAAAAGTGCAAATCCATAATTTAAGTGAAAATTTCCCTCTGGTAGAGCTTTTAAAATTATATTAAATATAGTTCCATATTCATCTATGACGATTAACCTTAATCCTCGTTTTAAAAGAAAGCGGTCGCTGATTCCTTTACTCCTAGACCTGTTTCCAGGTAAATTTAAAATGTTCTCTATTGGATAAGAATCGCCTTTTACAAATCCTTTTAGGGTTCCAAGTTGTTCATAGCCATATTGAGGAATCCTTAAAAATAATGTAATTAATATTAATAAAAATACCTCAGTTATAAAAGTGTATAGCCACATTTCGCAGGGTCTCGAAATTTGGGGACAAAAATACTTTAACAAATAATACTATTATGATAGGATACTAACGGAATAAATTAGAATCTCTCAATGACGAATGTTTATATACTTTTAAATTTTTTTAAAAAGAATCACAAATCTCAAATCTGACCACAGAAGACTTTAAAAGGATTTTGTAAGATACTAATGTCACCGTTTTCGCCAATTTAGAGGTTATCACCGTCCACAGTCCATGGTCCAAAAATATTTGGTACTGCACCCGCAGGGGAAAGGAATTTAATAAGCTTTCCCCCAACAATTGGTGGAGATCAAACAAAGTTCCATCAGAGCCAATATCCCTCTTGTTGAATAGTGTTGAACTTAGGTTTTTCTAATGCTTTAAAGTTTGGATATATCATTGAATTGGTGAGGTGCATTGTCTTGGGTTTGGTTAGAATTAATATTGTTTATAAAATTATTAAGTATATTTTGTTTCCTCTGATTTAGTGTAGTTTGATACTCTTATAGTCTACTGGATGATAAGTTTTACAATTTGTGCATTTGACTAATGTGTATCTCTAATTTGGATAAGTGATTGGCAGTGCATTTGACACATCGGGGTGTTTTATTACAATAATTTTTTGTATGTTAAAAGTTCTGACATCTACTGCATTGGAAATTTTTTTTTGGGTGGTGCTTTAAACTTTACTATCGTGTTTTTTGATGTTTTTTGATTTAGATATTTTTATTATTTCCTTTTTGCTTCATGTCTATGAAGAATGGGTTACTGGTTTATCTTTGTTTAATATTCCATACATTTGTGACTTCGTTAAGATATGTAAATTTAGTTTTAATTACTTTCTTTCAATGTTTTTTAGGACTACTTGAAAGCTTTTTTTCCTGCTTAAGTCTGTATTGCGTTTTTTTTGCTTGGCGCCTTGATGATTGTTGTATATATTTCACGGTTTATAGGCGGGATTTTTACTTGGCATTAAAAGTATAGTTGATCTGTTCGACGTAGATGGGAGGTGGTTTAAGCTCTTTGGTTTATCTTTCTTCATTTGAATCGTTTGTGTTTGTGATATTACGGAAATGAGCATAGTATATTGTATCAAAAATTAAAATATTTAAACCGAGCTGAGACATTGTGAGTTAAATATAAAATTGTATTTTAATTATAAAATTAAATTTTTTGCGTTTTTCTTGTTTATCTACATGCTCCCAAAATCCAATAACACAATAAAAAAAAAGTTGTTCAGATATTTATTACGAACATTTTGGTACTAAATTTGCTCAGTGGCCAACGAGTTTGTAGTAGAAAATGTACAATTATTTATAGACTTATTGTTTTTAACAAATAATATCCAAAGACCTTGACAAGGTTACTTGTCCCTGCCAAGTTTCGTGATATTTATCCCATAGCTGAAGAGTTTCCATATACGACACGAAAAAAAAATTTGTTTACTCAGTAGGTGAATACAAAATTAACCCATAAATATGTTCATGAACTTCTCAAGATTCTCCTTCATGTGCAAACTATGTTTACATTACTTCTGTTAAACAGATTCACGTAGACTGTCTTATCTCAGTAATAACAGAAAATTAGTCACTTGCATCGAAACCTACACAATATCCGTAGTTCGCCAAATTAGTTTTCAAAACTGGAAACTATAAAATATCAATATTACCTCTATAAACCAGGTTTTATTAAGAAATTTATAAGAATAAATTTAATTTATATTTTAATCTCTGCCATATTACAGTTTCAAAGTTTCTATTTGAGTATGTTTTACGTGTAAACTTTAGCCACTTGAGCTTTATCTTAATCTAATTATAAGATTGGAGTACTAATGATACTTACATATTGTTTCTCCATGATCCATCCCGCCAATGATCACTGGCAACAGCTTTGGCAAATAATGAAGTATCGATATCTTGTGGAAAGAAATGAGGCGAATAAAAGGCAGTATAACTGAAACAAACATATTGTGAAGTTGTAAGCTTATCGATGGTGTTAGATTAAACTATAAAGAATATTTACATAAAATTAAACTGAATATGTTCCACTTTTTCAAAATCTGTGCACGACTGATTCTTGAGAAGTCCATTAAAAGTTATTCTAAGTTTTTTAAGCGGTTCCAAAATTTCCACGTTTAGACCAGCTATTTTCCAAGCGTATTTAGATACGGTAGTTTGAATACCAGCTGTTCCTCCTAAAAACAAAGAACTATTATTAATTTAAATCAATATATTTGGTGCACTGCAAAATCTCAACAGTACTTACATTGTACTGTAAAATAGTAATGTCTTTACTTCACATTTAATATATATATATATATATATATATATATATATATATATATGTATATATATATATATTATATATATATATATGTATATAAAATTATATATATGTATATATATATATATATATATATATATATATATATATATAAATTAAGGTCAGACGAGTGGTGGGTTCTTTTATCGAACAGAGAAAAAAGAACGGAGAAAAAAGACAAAGTTGATGGCTACTTCATTTGTTTATTGAAATATCAATAAAAGAACCCACCACTCGTCTGAGTGATCCTTAATTTATATATATATATATATATATATATATATATATATATATATATATATATATATATATATATATAGGTACACAGAGTGGCCCAAAAGTCTGGAAACGGCCAATTATCTCGTAAAATGCTAGATATAATTGTACAAAATTTGAGGTACACCTATTTTGGGATACGGAGATTCCATATTTGATATTTGCAATGTTGCCAAATTTGCCGTTTCTCTGATATTATTAGTAACTTTGGTTTTTCAAATGCATTACCCTGTATATTCAGCCATTATTAGAATCTTCTATTCAATACGAGTTCAACTATATGTAACACTTATGATTTTTTATAGTCTGGAAGGTCTTAAATAAGTACATAACAGAAGTCTGCCAACGCCTAATTGTTTCAATAAATTTTTTGATACTAATTATTTTCAACTACATTATAACGTAACAATTGATAGATTAGACCATTTTTTAACAACAGTTACGTTATTAAGTGTTCAAAATGTGCTCAATTTGTGAGTTGACAGTACCCTAATCGATGGTAGAATGCGTCTACCACATTTCTCCATGATTGGCTAGAAATTATTTGAGAGTAATCGATAATTCGTTGCCTTTACTCTGCAAGACTTGGCTGGTTAAGTTTGTAAACCGAATTTTTCAAGTATCCCTAATAAAAATAATCTTTAGGATTGAAATCGGGTGAACGTGGAGGCCATTCAATTCTACCTTGTCTACCAATAATCCGTACTATAAGTACGGAAAATATCTCATCTAAATAACGCCGAACATTTACACCAACTATCTGACGTTAAATTTCCTTCGATAAAAAATGACCCAATTGACTAAGTACCTACTACACCTGATCAGACATTTAATTTTTGTGGTCTGGTATGGTTTTCACGCATTCAGTGTGAATTTCATACGAGTTCATTTATTCAATACGAGTTCAAAAATATGTAACACTTATGATTGTATGTAGTCTGGAAGGTCTTAAATACATTAAACAGTGCAAAATATGTAGATTTTAATAAATTTAAATATTTAAATGTAGAATGCTGTGATATTGGCATTTGTTCACGATTTACATTATAAACGAAAACTGACAGTAGTTGTGTTTCGAAAAGTTCTGCAATTTAAATTGCTTCTCTAAAATGCCGTTCTCTAACAGTTCTCCTATTCATAAGGCGACTTTACAAAAAACTGTAAAGCGATTTGAGAAATATGAAGAAGGTAAAGATAGATGGAAAGAGAAAAGTTTTGTTGAAGATCCACATACATCCTCAGGCAGGGTTGCACAAGTACATGATGTAGGTCGTTCTTAGGTCTTACGTATATTACGTAAAAATAAGTTTAAACCGTACAAAATAAACTTATCGCAAGAATTAAGTGAAGATGACTTCGATCTTAGATTAGAGTTTACTGAGGTAATGATGGATAAAATTGAAAATTATTAAAATTTCGTTAATAGAATATGTTTTCCGATGAAGTAATCTTTACACTGTGTGGAAGCGTAAATCGATACAATTTAAGGTACTGGAGTGACGCATATTCACACTGAATGCGTGAAAACCATACTCAAAGACCACAAAAATTAAATTTATCGTCAGGTATAGTAGGTACTCAGTCAATTGGGCCATTTTTTATCGAAAGAAATTTAACGTCAGATAGTTGGTGTAAATGTTCGGCGTTATTTAGAGGAGATATTTCCCGGACGATAAATTGGTAGACAAGGTAGAATTAAATGGCCTTCACGCTCACCCTATTTCAATCATAAAGATTATTTTTATTAGGATACTTGAAAAATTTAGTTTACAAAACTTAACCAGCAAGTCATGCAGCGCTAAGGCAACGAATTATCAATGAATCTCGAATCTCTAGACCATCATGGAGAAATGTGAAAGACGCATTCTACCATCGATTAGAGTACTGTCAACTCATAAATTGAGCACATTTTGAACACTTAATAACGTAAATATTGTTAAAAAATGTTCTAATCTATCAATTGTTACGTTTTCATGTAGTTGAAAATAATTAATATTAAGAAATTTATTGAAACAATTAGGCGTTACCAGACTTGTGTTTTATGTACTTATTTAAGACCTTCCAGACTATAAAAAATCATAAGTGTTACATATAGTTGAACTCGTATTGAATAGAAGATTCTAATAATGGCTAAATATACAGGGTAATGCATTTGAAAAACCAAAGTTACTAATAATATCAGAGAAACGGCAAATCTGGCAACATTGCAAATATCAAATATGGAATCTCCGTATCCCAAAATAGGTTGTACCTCAAATTTTGTACAATTATATCTAGCATTTTACGAGATAATTGGCCGTTTCCAGACTTTTGGGCCACTCTGTATATATATAATATATATATATATATAATATATATATATATATATATATAATATATATATATATATATATATTTATATATACATTATTTAACAAAAAAAAAAAAGATATACTTGTTAATAACTTCAGAACTCAATAGTTTTCGAGATAACGCATTTTACAAATCAACTGCTTTAATGTATATATTATAACTGTTTAATGTTATTAATATATATATATATATATATATATATATATATATATAATATATAATATATATATATATATAAACGGGGTGGTCCTTTAGTAATTGTACAAAAAAAAACCGCAGATTTCTACACTTTAAAATATTATGATTTAAGCCAACTTGCTTTAATAAAATGTTGATACATTTACAGCTGGGTACTATTTAATATCTGGAATTATAATTTGATGAATAATTTGATATAGCTAATAGAGGTCGCCACATATGCCACATACGTGGCATAAATTTGCACTTAACTTTTTTGTTCTTTAAGTTACCGGTATTTAAAATAAAAAATATTAAAGATGCATTATTTTAACAAAAAAAAAAAGATATACTTGTTAATAACTTCAGAACTCAATAGTTTTCGAGATAATCGCATTTTACAAATCAACTGCGTAATTCTGATTTAACGCAATTACTCCAGGCAACGGAAGAAAATTAAAGAAAAACATCAATACTTTTGAATTTTGTTATAAAATACCTTAATAAAGTCAATAATTAACGAAATATTAAATAAAATAAATATATCAGCAGGATGATTAATAATAGGATTTGATAAAATAACAGAATAATTGGATTTTACATCAAACATTTTATTTAATTTGTATTAAATTAAAGTCATAATCAAAACATTTTATTTACAAACCAAATTAAGAAATAGTTAAACTAAATAACATTAAACTTTTTGTCAAAGTAAATGTTCACTATGTCCACCATTTTCTTTAATTCATTTGTCAATACATTCCATAAAATATCGTCTCATATTAAATAGCGTCATTGGTTCTAAAGAAACTGCTGCAGTAGTTATTATAAGTGTTATAAGTATAATAATAAGTAATTTTTTGAAATGTTTATGAATTAAATAATTATATTAATATCTCACCGCAAGACTATGACTACCATGAACAATCCAACGTTCAGGAAAGTTTAAAGAAGTATTTAAATACTGTCTCACTCCACTTTCTCTGTAATGTAATGGTGTACCATCTTGTAGAAACCACATATTTCGCCTTAAGTTTGATGACAATTCTTCCAATAAATCAATAAAATCATTTTGTAAAAAATGTAAATAAATCTCACAATTCAAATTGAAAGGTAATTCGCATATCCGTAAAACATCATTCAAAATTGATATTTAAAATGCATGTCCTATGGTTTGGAACCATTGATAATTATTTTTTTACGGATATGCGAATTATCTTGCAATTTGAATAACGAGATTTATGTACATTTTTTATAAAATGATTTTATTGATATATTGAAAGAATTGTCATCAAATTGAAGGCGAAATATGTGGTTTCTACAAGATGGTAAACCATTACATTACAGAGAAAGCGGAGTGATACAGTATTTAAATGCAACTTTCCTGAACGTTGGATTGTTCATGGTAGTCATATGCTTGTGGTGAGATATTAATATAATTATTTCTTCCTATTAGTAGCCTTGTCCTTCCATTTTTCTATTCACAGTGTTTCTAGGTTTTTCTCTACTTCTTGCTTCCATCTACTTCTCGGCCTTCCTCTCCTTTTTTTGTACCCATTGTATGCATCAGAATCATTTTTGGTACTCAAGAATTTGTCATTCTTTCTATGTGCCCTAGTCACCTGAGTCTCTGAGCCTTTACTACTCCCACTATACTAGGATTCTTGTACATATCTTCTAATTCTTTATTTGTTCTTCTTTTCCATGTATTGTCTACTATCTTGCCTCCAAATATCTTTCTCAAAACCTTCCTTTCCCATATTTCGAGCATACTTGTTTCGCCTTTGTTCAGTGTCCACACTTCACTGGCATAGGTTACCACTGGTTGTATAACTGTTTTGTAAATCCTTATTTTGGTATTCCTAGATATCTGTTTACTTTTTAATAGCCTGTTTAATGAGTACACGCATCGGTTTACTGCTATTATTCTTGATTGTAGCTCCTCTCTAATATTTGGTTTGCATGTGAACATCGACCCCAAGTATGTAAATCTTTCCACTGCTTCAAATATATATGCTTTTTACCCTCTACTTCTATTTTTAGATTTCCTACTTTTTGTTCACTGTC